TCTTTCGTTCTGTTTTTTTTTTTTTTTTTTTTAAAGTGGACCTGCTTTTCCGTTTCACCTAGATGGCATGGGGTCCCTATATGTTATGCGGCAGTATATTATATAGGTTAAATGCTAAATTTGGTCTCTCAACTTTATAGAGTTATATTTTTTGGTCCCTCAATAATTTTTTACACTTTTTTGATCCCTCAATTCTAAAAAATTCACAACGTTAATCCTTTTGTCAATTTAGACTATTAACTTCGTCTATGTGGCATTTTTTATATTTTTTTTTGATGACATGGAGAATACAACTTAAAAAGATACTGGTGTGGACAAAACATAATGCCAAAACATAATGACATGTCATATTTAAACGCTCTAAAGTCTTTTAAATGGGTCTCACATTACTTGAAAAAAAAAAAAAAAAAACTATAATGCTCTCTCATCTCCACTTCATCTGCAAAATCAATCTTAACCCATTTCTTCTTCTCTTAATGCTCTCTCATCTCCACTCCATCAAATTAATTCCTCAATAAACAATATCAATCAAACTCTAATCAAATTCTAACAAAAATACAATCAAATTGTAAATCAACAGAGTTGGATTTCATTTAACAGCTAGGTTTACTGGGTTTCGTTGATACCCAACACGGCTGTGCTGGGTTCGTCGATACCCAACCAAAGGTATTGCACCCTATAGCAAACCATGTATAAGAGCTACCACTTGCCAAATCCAATGCAAAACATCTCCCAATTGATCCTACCCCCAGAATAATAATAATAATAATAAGGTTAAACCCCCATTTTGGTCCCTTAACTATTGTACAGACCTTTTACCCCAATTTAGTCCCTCCGTTAAAAATCCAGTGATGTGTCCTGTTAATTAACTGAAACATGAAGACGTATCAAAATAGAGTGACACCTCATATGCACACCTTGGAAAAAAAGATGATATGGCAATATGATTCTAATCCAAAACCAAACCCCAAAAAAAAAAAAAGTGGGCCCCACCTACAAAGCCTAAACCCTTCTCCCTCTTCCTTCCCATTCAAACAGCTTTCTTAGGTCCTTAGCAAGAATCCACAAAAAAAAAAAAAAAAAAAGAGAACTTTTTTTTATTTTTTGCTCTTGGGTTCATTCGAACCCAGGCGTACTGAGTTTGAAGGAAGCTAGGCATCCTCTTAGGTTCGTTCGAATCTAAGCGTCCTGGGTTCCTCGAACCCAGGCTTCCTGGGTTCGAAACCCAAGAAGCCAGGCATCCTTCTAGGTTCAGACGAACCCGGGCGTCTTAGGTTCGAAAGAACCCAACGCTTGGGTTCCATCGAA